AGAAAAGACCCCCCTCTTTTCTCGAAAGGGTGTGCTATGACGGTCCTCCATTTTCAACGCACCCTTTCGAGAAAAGCGGGGGGCCTTTTATCGAATGGGTGCGATGAACTCACCACACCGCGCCGCACCGCACCGCACCCTTTCGATGAAAGCCGTGTTGTGTGTACAAGCGTGTATACCTTGTACACTGTCGCTCATAAAGGTGGAATATTTTTTTTAATCCCAATTTATGGAATTATTTTAAAAATAATTTAAAAATAATAGATCTAGATAATAGTATACATTCTCAGATTTTATTGAATAATAATTTGCCAATGTGTGTTTTGCGTGACTGCTAAAGCATGTGTATGCTACTTTGCTTATCAACTAGGGGACCTATGACCTTAAGTCATAAATGACAGTAATGAGGATTAATGCCCCACAAAAGGGCACTAATATAGCACATCGACACGGTTTTGATCCTGGGGCCTCACAGTTACGAGGCCATTGCTGTGTCACTGAACCATGACTGTACGCAGCGGGGGCTAGGGTAGGGGGCAGTTTCCATAAATAAATTAACTGTGTGCCCATGTCTTGAGCCATAATGCATGGCCGTCCAGAGGATTTTTTAATGTTGGGGACCGGGGTAAAATGCAATAAATTATTGAAAATTTATTGCATTTTATTTTTATTTTTTTATTTATGGAAACTGCCCCGTACCCTAGCCCTCGCTGCGTACAGTCATGGTTCAGTGACACAGCAATGGCCTCGTAACTGTGAGGCCCCAGGATCAAAACCGTGTCGATGTGCTATATTAGTGCCCTTTTGTTGGGCATTAATCCTCATTACTGTCATTTATGACTTGAGGGCGTAGGTCTCCTATTTAATAAGCATAGTACACTTTGAAAAGGTTGGGCAATATTTTTTCAACACTTTGCCCAACGTTGTGCCAATAGTCAACCCAACCATCTATTGGGCAATATTTTGCCCAGTGGTATTGGTAAACGTAAATACCCTACTTCACACGTGCATAATTGTTTCGTATTTTGACCAAAATTTGGGCAAAGATATGACCCTTCAACTGCCCGACTACGGTAGCCCACTTATTGGGACAATCTTGACCAACTGTTGGGCAAAATACGAAAATATTGCCCAATAGATGGTTGGGTTGACTATTGGCAAAGTGTTGGAAAATATTGCCCAACTTTTTCACAGTGTAGCATACACATGCTTTAGCAGTCCCGCAAAACACACATTGGCAAATTATTATTCAATAAAATCTGAGAATGTATACTATTTTCTAGATCTATTATTTTTAAATAATTTTTAAAATGATTCCATAAAGTGGGGTGAAACTAAAATATTCCACCTTTATGAGCGACAGTGTATGTATGTCCATATAAAACATGTGACCGATCAGCTCACTTTACCGATGACCAATCAATTTAGATGATCTTAACACGCAAGGGGGATTTGCACCACGAGGCATATAAAGACAGTTTTATAATGTTTTAGTCAGATTCTTTTGAAGTTAGTGATAAAATATAACAGCAAATAATCATTTAACACCTCTAGGTAACTGATCAAATAATATGACGAGTCCCCCTTACGTGTTTACATCATAAACATTCTCATATAGAGGGGTAAACGGATCACGAGGAGTATATTCCTCGTGGTGTAAGTCCCCTTCTATGGGGAATTTGATTATCTTAACACGTAAGGGGGACTGGCACCATGGGGAATATATAGACAGTTTTATAGTGTTTTTTAATTAGATTCTTTTGATTTTATTTTTAGTGATAATCTATGACAGCAATTATTGATGTAACAACTCTAGATACCTGCCTGAAAGTGGCAGAGTGGTCTTGAAGAGGAGGGAAATGAGGGGTAGATGAACATCAACGGGTTAATCTCCGTCTCGTATTAATTTTGGAGGGGGACTCGGATCACGAGGAAAATATTCCTAGTGGTGTACGTCCCCTCCTATGGGAAATTTGATTATCTTAACACGCAAGGGGGACTCGCACCACAAAGGATTTATAGACAGTTTTATATACCTCACTTAAGAAATCCAGCCATCTGATTGGTCGAAATTGCATTCATGCACGCCTCGGGGCAATAGCACAATTCTAACCTTCCCTTGAGCGTATAAAAACAACTATTTCTCTCAAAGCAGTCATAATAATAATAATAATAATAATAGCCTAATAGTCCACTCCAAATTTTATTAAACCGAAACGGAAATTCTTTTTGCCCAATTGATAAAGTGTTTTTCTTAATAGGCCTACTAAATAAATTGGCGTGACTAAATAAAGCAATACTATCATTTAAAACAAAATATAATAGAAAGTATTATATACCTCACTTAAGAAATCTAGCCATCTGATTGGTCGAAATTGCATTCATACACTTTAACTATTCCTGTAAAATTCCCGGTAAAATTCCAAACCCATGTAATAGTTTCTCTCTATTTCTCTCAAAGCAGTCATAATAATAATAATAATAATAATAGCCTAATAGTCCACTCCAAATTTTATTAAACCGAAACGGAAATTCTTTTTGCCCAATTGATAAAGTGTTTTTCTTAATAGGCCTACTAAATAAATTGGCGTGACTAAATAAAGCAATACTATCATTTAAAACAAAATATAATAGAAAGTATTATATACCTCACTTAAGAAATCTAGCCATCTGATTGGTCGAAATTGCATTCATACACTTTAACTATTCCTGTTCCCGGTAAAATTCCAAACCCATGTAATAGTTTCTCTCTATTTCTCTCAAAGCAGTCATAATAATAATAATAATAATAATAGCCTAATAGTCCACTCCAAATTTTATTAAACCGAAACGGAAATTCTTTTTGCCCAATTGATAAAGTGTTTTTCTTAATAGGCCTACTAAATAAATTGGCGTGACTAAATAAAGCAATACTATCATTTAAAACAAAATATAATAGAAAGTATTATATACCTCACTTAAGAAATCTAGCCATCTGATTGGTCGAAATTGCATTCATAAACTTTAACTATTCCTGTAAAATTCCCGGTAAAATTCCAAACCCATGTAATAGTTTTAAAAAATAGTTCTAAAATCCCAGTAACCATGGTTACGCATAGGTTTACATGTTAAAAAATGGTTTGAGCGATCGAGGATACCGTACGTGTGCGAAGAATTGGTCGGTATTTTCATACAAGACAAGACAATTCCAAACAAGACAAAAATGGCTAAAGAAACTCTCCCAAGATTTCAACTTATCAAATGCAAGACTCGCTGACAGCAAGAACAACAAAAAGGGTACGTGAAATTATCCATAAACATGTTCGTTTAGTTGCTGAAATGGAGTACCAGCATAGACGCTAGACGTAGACGAAAATAGATCTAGTAGTAGTCAGGGTGTCTGATCGCGCACCCGATGTTGTGTGCTGAAATTCTTCCCATAGAGATTGCACGCAATGCAGTCTCTATGCAGTCTACGTGCATTGCGCGACCATGCAAAAAAAAGTCAAGTTTTTTTTTCAATTCGAGATTCAAACCTCTATTTGTTGTGATCCTGAAGGTGATACTCAATAAGTGAGGTTTCATATGAAAGCGCAGGTTCTTCTCCATATTTCCCACAGGGCCGGCCCACCCCCAAAATTGTGAAAATATATTGCTTAGACTAGAATCTAGATCTAGTCTACTCTCAAAGATACACTCATAAAAACAACCGTGCAGATAAACTAGCGAAAGGCCAAGGTGGTGTAATTAGTTGACTCTTTTGTTTTCGGCATATAAAAGTATTAATGACTGCTTTAATATTCTAGAAATAGTTGTTTTTATACGCTCTCGGGAAGGTTACAAATGGGCTATTGCCCTCGGCACGCCTCGGGCAATAGCACAATTATAACCTTCCCTTGAGCGTATAAAAACAACTATTTCTCTCAAATCAGTCATTAATACTTTAATATTTCGTCTTCAATGACAGTTAAAGGCATGATGAAATTAATCAATATAATATTCATTCAGCCTAATCAATGCTTGACTAAATAAACGTAAATCATAGTTTGCTTTATTTAGTGAAGGACTTTTATAGGCGTAATAGATAACAATTGGCTTGACTAAATAAAGTTATAATCCATTAAACATGCGCTTTGGTGGATACAATTTTGAAAGTTAGGAAATGTTTTTTTCAGAGTAAAAAGTATCCTTGGATCAGAGTCCCTGGGGACTTGTATCACGATAATGCCGATAATACTCACCGATGATCAGATTCCAAGTAAAGTTTATTATAAAGAACAGATTCCGACGTTCAGAAATGATTTTCGGTGACTGATGTGATCATTCACAACGGAAAGGCCAGCACCCAAACAAATAACAGTTCCTCTCTCAGCTCTCTTTGGCCCGAATCACAAAGGAGGTTTAGATTTGACCCATGGTTTAAACCCTCATTTACATAATCCATGGTTTAAAAATTAGCGCAAAAAAAACGTACCTTGCCCTACACGCGTCTAATATTGGCTCTCTGACTTGTGTCACGCTTATTTTGCGCTTATTTTAAAGCATGGGTTATTTAAATGAGGGTATAAACCATGGGTTAAATCTAAACCTCCTTTGTGATTTTGGGTATATATGTTCATGTGACCTTTGGAAAAGTTCGTTCCCGATTTCGGCGCATGCGCAGTATGCAATTACAAACTCGCTTATTAGGGCCTTTGTAGAATAATTTTATTTGTAAAAATTGCAAATCGAAGTAAGGGTATGAATAATTTAGTTCTTAACCGTATATGACCAAGTGCATTATTCTTTGCTAACGCTCACTTGTTAGTATTAAAAGAAAAACAAGAGACAATTTCTAAGCCAATCACTTAATTTGGATTCTGTTTGATTGTCTTCTAATAGTAAGACTTGACACCAAATACAAGCCTGTATATAAAGACAGCTCAAGGGAGACAAGGAAAATAGTCTTTAAAGGCAGGTGGTCTTTCAAGACAGGTGGTTATCTAAGCAGGTTTCACTGTACTTTAATAATAACAACTAACCTGGCGGCCCTTGGATGAGAGAGAAGGTGTTTGTGAGGGCCATCTTGAGGGCTTCTGACTGCGTTTTATTGGGTGGGTGCAGTTCAGTCCCCTGTACATGGAGGTCTCTCACCTTCCCACCTTCCTTCAGCGCGATCCTGGTGATCTCATCTTTGGAAAAAGGAAACAAATACAATTTGGCAAGAGCAGGCTACAATCACCCATTGACTATCATCGAAGCCAGCGATAAGCCTAATGAAAAATACATAAATGAAATTGTATCTAACAGGGTATGAGTATTAGTTCAATACGTAGGACTGGGTACAATTTTTATTTCAAGATAGTTTGAAATTCAGCTGCGACGACCCAGGTATTTTCAATAAAATATTTCTGCTATACAGAAGGTCCCTCACGTCCTCTTCCCAATTAAAGACCCTACCCAATGAAAATACAACTGTATATCAATGGAAAGCTGGACGAACTTATAAAACAAAAAGGAAAGTACAAAATGTTTCCCCTTTCAGTATTGCACAAAAACCAAAGTAAAACCTCATTTTCTGCATACCTCTAAATTACAGGTCAACAGGGGTCAAATTTGCTGCAGTTGAAGTGGACATTCAAAGAAAATCACAAATATGTCAAATAATGTATTACTAGAAACTGGTAAGGTTTAGGTCAACTAAATATATGGTGATCTATAAAAATACAAAACCACCTGCATAGCATCTGTGATATATACGAGAGATTCGCCACTGAGAAAAATAAAAATGCTTTAATGACGTAACATAATGCACCAATACTGCCCAAGTAGACGACATCCCATAAAGAATAAACATAATTGCAGTGCTATTATTCCTTAAATTATAATGAGTTTAGTGTATATAAATGTGATGGCATTTCACACCATTCGAAAGGGGATATGAAACCGATTCTGATAACTAAAATCTTTTGTTTGTAAATACACAGGATAGGAATAATTAACAATCAAAGAAACCAGACTTTCAAAATTGAAAAAAATCTGGGATGATAGCATGGAAGGCATTTGTTCCCTCTTGAAACGCCGAAAATACCGCGGTGTATGCAGCTGAAAATACAATGGCGTCTTATTTTGTTTACAAGCGACAGATTCCTTTATTTTTTTGTCGCTGCAGTTTTCATAAAAATAATACCATGCGCGGGGTTTAGAGGCAATAGATTAAACATTTAGCCTGACGGTAGTGAAGTAAGAGAAGGAAATGACGAGGGGATGACAAAACAGGCACTGTAAATGTATAAGATGTCATGGGACATCATCTGCTTGTGCAAATCATGCCCAACCTGTGATGACACACATCTCAGCAGCGTTCGGAGAGCTCTTCAGGTGCTATGCCAGGGTTGTATTTAAGCGTTTTGTAATTGATAATAATCATTATACTTCAAATGTTTCCAAGCATTGAATTTTGATAACCTTGTCTAATCAAAGTTTCCCCTTTGCAATAAATGTGGACCCATTCGGCTCATCTATATAGCTGAGGCAAGGAGCTGTGCTTCATTAATGCAAAGTTATGATGATTATGCGTACTTCACTTAAGATGTCATCAAGTCAATAGCTAATTTTCAGTTTGACAACTTCTCATTTTCAATGCTTTAGACTTCAGCTTTAGTTTTCAGAAAGCTGTTACTCCTCTGACAGACACGTAAGTAGCACATAATTGATATTATACAATAGGCTTGTGGATGCACCATGTGAGAGAGAGGGAGGATTGAGGAGTCCTGAAAAGGACTCTCGGTAATCTTTCTTGAGGGTGTGTAGTCCTGAAAAGGACTGTTGGTGTAGTCTATGGATTACACGATTTCCGTTGATATACAATTCATCTATTTCATATTTCGATTCCGATTTTACACTTTAACTACCATAAATCTCTGTGTATAAGACACACTCTTTTTCCCGCCGTAAAAATATGAAAGTCAGGGGTGGCCTTATAGCCAGGTACAGGATCTTTTGAGTCCTCAAAATGCTACTTTTTAAGTGGTGTCCGACCATCTATGTGTCTCAACATGAATTTCATTATGCGAATAAAGAATACTGGGCAACACTCACCCTGAAAGAGCACCAGCATGGCACCGTGAGTAAAAAAAAGTGTCTCCCAGCTAACTCACACATGGGATGTCGACTCACCACTCGAAAACTAGAACCAAACTAGCCTATGCAGAATTTCTGTTTGTACTCGGAGGAAAATTTGTCTGTCATCTCTAAGTTTAAAAACAACATTTTTTACTGTTATTTGTGACAAGTTCACAGGCACAAATCGGCGCCTCGTAATAAAATGAAGGTCCTTCCCTGCATGGCTTGCTGCCTACAGAGGCACAAAAACTAAAAAACAAAAAATTATTATGTCTTGGCAATATGATTTATCGTAGCGATTGCTATGCAGTATGGCGACCATCCAATACTTCCTGTGAAAGACGGAAAAGTATCAAGTATTCTCCTAATGGAAGTAAATTTTTCATGGAACACTGATGTGGTGTGATGTGTTGTGATGTGTTGTTATGACTTAAAAATCACTATTTGGCAACTTTGTGTGAGTAAAATCACCAAAAAAGGCTATTAAAAAGTGATATGGTGTAATATTAAAGCCCTAACAAAATTGTGCTTCAAAAAGGTAAAAATCTTTGAGTGACCGGTTTTACTACTCGTTTTTCCCAATAGACTGCATGTAGTTTTAGGAAAACTTTAGGAAAACGCACAAATTTGGTTTCGCTTTCCAATCATAAATATCTTGGTAATCAGACAGGCGTCGGCTTGTACAAGTCATGGGTTTCCTGCCTGACCTAAAGGTTTATAATTATCATTGCAGCATGAGCTAAATCCAGGATTTTGTTTCATAATCTGAAATAAAGTTACTGGATTCCTTTAAACATAAGAGTGCGTCTTATACACAGTGATTTACGGTACTTTACATGGTGGGAAACTTAACTTTAGGTAAAGTGTACGTTACAGGGTTACACTATGTCATTCTTTCAAAGGAACAAGACCCCTTACAAAGGGTAGTATCTCACGCCTTTCTTAAGGCTCTTTATTCCTTTGAAAAACAACTGCTTGCGTAACCCTGATTTTTGTTTCACCTACAGTAAATACATGTACTTTATACACACAACTACAAACAAAACAACACTAAACATTCAAAAGGACAACTCAAACAAATTTGTAAGATGTCTCAAGCACCATCTGCATTAAGAAAACCCTGATAAAAATCTATCATTTGTAGTGCTGGTGTGAAACAAAAATTATGAATGCCTCCCTTGGAGGAGGGAACATATTTACTTTGACTGTAATGGCTCAGTGGTAGAGCAATGGTCTTGTAACCGCGAGGTCCCGCCTTCAAAACCATATTAATGAGCTATTGCCCTTTTGTAAGGCATAAATCCTCATTACCAATTCCCTTGGAGAGGACTTATTACTTACATGCATATACATGCTTTCTTAGCAGTCAGGTAAAACAATCATTGATCATTCTAAGAAGAAAGACTTACTTGGGTTGAAGACTCCATCATCAGCTTTGCATGGCTTGCGGAGGCAGATATTGCGGATGAGAGGGGTCGTGTCTTGGAGCCGCCTCACAGCATATTCTACACGCCTACAGGTGTCAAAACAAAACAAAATATTCATCTTTTGATACAGATTACAAGAAGAACAGAATGAAATCACACCAGCGAATTCTGAGTTTTAGATGACTGGGGAAAATGCTTATTATACCACAATAAAATCATACAATTGGTTCAAGATGGCAACTCATATAAGTGCTAATTCTAAGATGCGGATTTTCATTCACATTACTCTTTAAAGATATCAGTTAACAAACTACATTGAGTACAATCTACTTGCTTTAAGCTCAAAAGGGAAATATGGGGAGCAATATCTTAAAGCTACAACATTTGCCCCTTGGAGAACTTTATCAAAGTCTTCCATCCAGTAATACTTCTGAGAGACTTACACCTGTATAAACCTATAAAACCTATCTACATGTATTTCATATCAGCCAAGTTCAACAAGTTTTTTTTCTGCCCATAACGGGAATGGGAATATGTGGACTACACCAAGTACATTTAACAGGTATGTTTATCAATAAATTGTCCCTTTGCTCATTTCAATGATATTCATATTGCCTTCAAATCTAAGAGCCAATCAAATGTGTTCAACAATTTAACAACAATTATTTGGGAAGGGGAAGCACTTCTTCTTTGCTCAATTGTTGTTGTTGATCTATGAAAGTAAGTAATTGTCCTTACAAGTCTGGAATTGTCTTGGGGATGATTTCAATGGTACAGGAGATCTCCTTTCCTTCAAGTTGGTAGAGCAGTGCATCCTCTGGGAACGGTAGGGAGGTGGTGTGGAGCTGGAAGGTGACGGTCGTCAGCCGGGTCTTCTTGTCAGTCTGGGCGTCTGTGGTGTACCCATGGGCTACAAAGGTCTGCTCAGTCCATGCCAGGCGATTGTAAGGCCCTTTCGTCTCTTTGTGCTTGGAACTACTGTCCAAGTCACGCATCTTGAGCAGGTTTCGGGTATGGACACGGAGATTCCTGTAGCGGACGCAGATGAAGTCTAACTCCTGGTCCTCATCGTCTTCCTTACTCTTGTCCTTGTTTCTTGCCCGCCAATTCATGCGAATGAATCGTTGCTTAATGAAGGGAACGGAAAGATTGAAGTAACCCTGGTACTTGTTGCCTTTTAATTTCTGCCAGGTGATCGCTACGTTGTGGATGGTGATGGTGTCATCAGAGGTGACAGCACTGTGAACACTGATCATTGACAGGATGGGGAGCCAGGATTTCTGGTAAGCAGCAATAGACTTCTCCTTCCCCGGAATCTTGGTGGCAACGTCTGTAAAGCAAAGCACTGGTTGCTCACGGTGCTCTGCACACACATCCAATTGTGGTGTCATATTGAAGAGCTGGATATGGGGAGTCAGGACACCTTTGAACAGACGAGCATGCAACTGGACCTGGTTGACATCACCTTTCTTGAAGGAGCGGCAGAATTCAATGAAATGCTGCTGCTTTCCCATCATGTCCACGTATTCACACGTCGCCTCAATTGAGGACTGCTCAGTTAACCGCCTCATTGGATCCAGGTGCTGACAAAGCTCCTGCCCTCCAGAATTGATGGTTGACTTAATGGCTCTCCTGATGGACTCGTAATTTCCAGTTTTCACGCTTTCGCAGATATCTTTCCAGTTGTCCTCTTGGATATTCACAATTTGGCGGCCATTGTCCAGTTCTATGGCATTTTGTCTGTGTCCATGCCTCTGTTGTCCTTCTAGGTTTACGTCATAGATTCTCGACTTCCATGCTAGGTCAACAGATTCAGACGCAGCAGTAGTCTCTGGTCTCTTTGAGGGCTTGAGAATATTGAAACCCAGCTTACTCTGTGTTGGTAGAATGTATGGCCTATGTGGGAAGAGCAGCTTCAAACCAGAATCTGAGAAACTCTCCACAAATGTCAGCAGCTGCAGAGGAGCTTCCTTCAACTTTAGAGCTAGCTGGAGAGACTTGCTTTCCTTTGAGAAGCGTTGGGAATGCACAGCTCGGCTAGAACAATTGTGGGTTATGTTGGCCAGCTCTCTTGCTTCATAGGGACATGGTAGACCTTCTAAGCTTGCGATCAGCATCCGGTGTACCACAAGATCGATGAACCTGCGGATAGGCGATGTGAAATGGACATATGCTTTAAGCTTCAAAGAGAAGTGCGCCCTCTGTTCAGGTCCTTGCTGGTCTCCTGAGTTCACATACTCTGACCGCTCCATAATCCGATGAAACTGAGACAAGGCTACAGCTTGAAGAGGATGGTTTGGATCCATGCATACCATGTTGATGACTTTATCCAATGCCTTCTGAGTATTTTCACTGGAGGCCTGAACAATTTCCTCCCAGACTGGCTTGGTCAAAGGAAGCATTGGGTTGTCCTCAGTATCCTGGTCGACATCTTCATCCTGATCCTGATTCACAGTAGCAGTCAGCAATAAACTGTTGCGGACACCATCCTTGTGTGTCTTCCTCCATTCTTCAATTTTGTCTAGAGGTGGTGCTAGTTGCCTCCTGAGGGGAGTACTATCTGCATACTTCAACAGTAGACGGTCTACGACAATTTCGTTGGCAAGAACCATCATCTCTTCAATCAAGCTGTGAGCAAGTGGATCCTGAACCTCTCCATTATCATCCTCTGCATTGTAGACACATTTCTTATCTCCTAGACGAAGAGCTCGTCTCAAACATGCCAGATTGTGCAGGCAGCGGATTGGTTCAGCAACATCCTCTAAACCATCGGGATATTCTCCGTGGATGATCTCTTCTGCCTGATGGTAGGAGAGTTTATGGCAGGAACTAATGATTGTACGGAAAACCTTTGGTGCCTCAGCAAGTGTTCCGTCAGAGTTGAGCACCACCAACAAGGACAAAGCCAACCTGTCCTTATTAGGAAGGAGACTGCAGAGGTCAGTGCCTAGCTTCCTGGGGAGCATGTGGATGGGTTTATCATGGAAGGACGGATAGAAAGATGTTGAACGAATCCTTGCTTCTTCATCGAGGTCACTCCCTTTTGGAACAAAGTAGGAGACATCAGCTATGTGGATTCCCACCCTAAAGCGATCTCCGTCAATGGGCTCCATGCTGACTGCATCATCCAGATCTTCTGAACCGGGAGGGTCGATAGTGAAGATCTTCATGTTTCTGAGATCTACTCTTTTTTCCAGTTCAGCCTTAGGAATTTCCCACCCTGCAGGAAAGTTCTCTCTGAGGTAAGCATTAACAGAGTCCTTGAACCTGTCTTTCACATTGTGAATCAGCTTGAGGATGTGCAGTCCTTGCCTAGGTGTGGTGCCTGGCTCCAGTTCTTCAATGACTACTCCCAGTGGGTAGGGAGTCTTGGTGTTCCACTTCCAGAAACGAACAACAAAAAGCTTATGCGGGCGTTCTTTGTTCGTGACATACACGTCTCTTTCCGGCTTGAAGCGACCCTGCGTCTTAGCAACTACACGAGAGATGGTGTGGATTGTGACTTTTGTCACATTCCTGTCTCTTGGCTCTCCAGCTTTGTCTTCTGTCTTTGTAATGAAGAGCTTTGGGAATGTACGGTCCACAGGCACCATCAGGTTGTTGCTGAAGGGGTCAAGGGTACACACAAGTTTGCGTAGATATGGATCAGAATCTCTCTTCAGAATGTGAACAACCTTCCCATAGATTCTCTTATCTTCTTCCACCTTCACAGTCACATGAACTCCTTCTAATTCTTCTGTGCCTTCCCTGATCTCTATGATTTCTACCACAACCTCATCATTGTCCAATGCTTGTCCTCTACGTTTTTTGCTGGTGATGGATATGACTTCAGATGCTTCACGTTCATGAGGGATTGCATGTGTTGCGCCCCTCATATCATATCTGAAGGTGCAGACCTTGAATTTTTCAGGTTCTGTAACTGTCTTTTCCAGGTAATCATCTTCTGTCTTCTCTTCTGGTGAACCATGCGCTTCATCTTCATCTGAATCGTAATCTTCCGCTTGGCTTAGCGCACTCTGTGGCATGTACCTTGGCAGCAGAGCAATTCGACCATCCCTTTCCACCATACGGTAGCTTGACATATCCAATTCTGGCTCAGATGGCTGAGCACTCATCGGAGCTGGAGGCTGCTTAGTGGGTAGTGTCTGAGGAGGTTTCTTCACTGATTCTCTTTGTCCTTTAAGTTGACTGGCCCCAGCCATTTGAGGGGCATGTCTTGACTGGTATGCTGAAACTGGTTTACCTCGCTGTAGTATCTGAGGTGGAGGTGTTGCTTCTGGTTCTGGCGATGTTTCTGGTTCAGGTTCTGTACCCTCACTAGATTCTAGACTCTCACTAGGTTCAACCCATATGTTCATCTCCTTTTGATAGTCCACTTTCATTTGTAGACGGAGCTCTTCCAGAATATCATCATCTTGAATGTCCTCAAATTCATCTTCCCCTTCTGATTCATACAAGGTGCTCTTAATGTGGGTATGCACATGATTCACCTCAGGTAGTTCTGGGAATTCATCACTGTTCAGCCTCCGATATCCTTGGGCTGCTCCCGCTGACATGACAGATTGAGTCTTCCGTGTAGCTGCTTGTGGTGTTGTGGATGATGCTCCCTTGCGCGGTTGAAAAGTGGCAGCGGTGGGATTATGCCTTTTCTTTGCAGCCGCTATCTCCTCCTGAATCATATCCACAGTCATCTCTGGTGGCATGATGCTATTGTTCTTTTGACATTCCTTCACGTACCGCACCCAGGTCATTTGACAGGCTCCGACGGAGCAGAGTGCGACTGGGTCCCCTACAACAAAGATCAGTGACTTGGCACGGGTGAACGCCGTATTGAGGAGGCGCTCCTCTGACAAGAAAGCATAGTAGAACTCATTCTCTTGTTGATTTCTGGGTGCTTGTGGAATGATGTGAGCCTTGTTGACAGTCTCTCTGGTATGGACTGTACTTATGACGACAGCCCGGAACTGCCTTCCTGCAATTGAAAACAAACATGAATCCTGCATTTGACTGCAGGAACTTTGCAAGCCTGAAATCAAAAGTTTTCAATAATACACTTCGTTGTGAAACAATACAACTATGAAACAAAACTGTACATGTTTATCTTTTCCCGCAGAAGGTAAATGGATCTACGTATTTCCAAAATCCTGCCATTATTGTCATACAAATAAGAATAAAAGACTCTTTCTCAATGAAGCATTCAGAGCACTGCTAAACCATTTTGATGAATTACATGCAAATTCTAAAACAGGAAGCCAAAAAGCCTAAATGTACATGTACATGTATGTGTGTCCCATGTGTCGACCAGCATACAGAACTTTATCCTTCTCTCATAATAGTCAATTTTCTTGTAATGTTGAACCTTAATAAAAGGATGTTGATGACTTCCTCCTGAAGATTGTGTTCATAAAACAAAGTTATGTTTTTGTCAAATCAAGATAATCAAAACTAGCTTGTGGGAAATAGGTTTCAAATTTTCCATTGCTATGTAATAAACGGACATGTCTCTATTGTATGATATATAAATAATATCATTGCCTTTTATAATAATACAAGTTATCATATGGCACTACCACCATTCAAAACTTTCTAGTAAACATACGTTTCTTTTAATGTTTTTTTTAAATTGCTGATATAATCTCCCTCACCTTGCACATTCTGTACAGTGTCCACAGTGATCTGTCTCAAACCTCTGCGCCTCAGCTCTTTGCGTATCAGGTGCACCTACAAAAAGAGCATACAAAAGAAGCACCTCCTATAACTTTTTACAATGAAAGCATTGTCATTTTTCTTTCACATTTAAATTCCACATTCTTAGCTCAGAAGTACATTTTGATCGATCATCAAAACCATATTACTTGTAAAGACAGCAACACATAGACACAATAACACACTTGTCAAATACAGCAGCACAGAGAAGCAATAAAACATTTAGTGCTTCAAGATGAGGTTTGTGCATGGATGACTTTCAATACATTATTTAACAGGGATGCCAGTAGCAAATGACTCCAGGGCCTGAAATTTTGAAGAGGGTTAACACAATGTGCGCGAAGCGCTCATCATGAACACAAAGCCTTAGGACCCTGGAAGCTCTGGGGTTCTAGATGCTTTCTGATGCAATCTGATCCTATTCTAGGGATCTTTTTTTTAAATCAATTTAAATGACCATTATCTTGGATTAGATATTATTAATATAATATGGACTGGCCTTGAGGGAGATACAACATATATTTCCCAAACTAGACTCATATTGCCCCGAGTCAAAGACGAGGGCAATATTGGTCTTGTGAAGGCAATATTATGTGGTATCTCCCAAAAGTTAAGCTAGTCAATATTGTTATTGTTATCTAATACGTACGTGTTAGCAAATACGTACATGATTATCATAAAACGCCATGATTCAAGATTATCATAAATCGCAATTGACTCATAATTATGCTACTTTAGTTATGACGCATAACATTTCTATTGTTATCATTTCTTTTTCTTTTCTTCAAACATATAGCTCCGTTTAGTCTTATTTGACAACGCCCCCTATCGTCAGAGTCCAGCAGCCTATAAACATGTTAGCCTATGGCCTTTTACACACACAAAAAGACGTTAAAAATTCATTTTATGTTTAAACGAAAAGCACATCCACCCCGACGTACGTTATCACTAGCTCTTTCATTTGAACCCTCATGTCCCATTGACTTTTGAAAGTTCACCCACCGTAATTTGGTCAAAATAGGTCGCCAGCTCGCCATTGCCTATATAACACATGTGCATCAATTCGAACTTTGGACGCAATTTACCACTCGACTGTAAGGTTATAAGTCAAGCACACGAAGGATAACAAGCATGAATTATCATAGATCAGTTCTGATTTGTTCATTATGTCCATTTCAGCCAACTCCCCCCCCCCCCCCCCCCCACCGTAAATTTTCCATTTAGTATAGGCAACCGTAATTTGGTCAAAATAGGTCGCCAGCTCGCCATTGCCTATATAACGCATGTGCATCAATTCGAACTTTGGACGCAATTTACCACTCGATTGTAAGGTTATAAGTCAAGCACACGAAGGATAACAAGCATGTATTATCATAGATCAGTTCTGATTTGTTCATTATGTCCATTTCAAACAACTCCCCCCCCCCCCCCCCACCGTAAATTTTCCATTTAGTATAGGCAACCGTAATTTGGTCAAAATAGGTCGCCAGCTCGCCATTGCCTATATAACACATGTGCATCAATTCGAACTTTGGACGCAATTTACCACTCGATTGTAAGGTTATAAGTCAAGCACACGAAAGATAACAAGCATGTATTATCATAGATCAGTTCTGATTTGTTCATTATGTCTATTTCAACCAACTCCCCCCCCCCCCCACCGTAAATTTTCCATTTAGTATAGGCAAGCATTTTGCCGAGGTAAGCAAAAACATGAATATTCATGAACGCCATGGACTATTCGATTATTAACAGAGGGTGAAATTGTGCACATCAAACTCCCCTACTTTCAGTCAAGTATTTCATTGTATTATGTAGTTAAGTAGGTTTATTTTACTAACTGTTTAATTATCAGATATTAAAGGTAAATACCAGTATCGGAAACGCCCCAATTTCAAAAAAATGAAATGGAAGCTCTCATTACCAATCATGTGAAAGAATATGTTTTGACTAATACATGATGATAAAAAATTTGCCGGGAAACCGCCTACTAACTCATATATTTGGTAAATTTGTTTCTCTCATGGTCTGTGAGAGATATAGGGTAGTCCCATATACATCTTTCTGTGTATAGTGCTTGTAACTTTACGAAGAATGGGCCACATTTCTTATCATTTTGATGATTCCAGAACCTTGCAGATGCTAGATGCTAGATGATCAACCTTTTCTGATCGATTCCACAACGTTTCTTTCACAATGCAATCGCATGACCATAACTGGTCTTTACCTTTAATGATAGTTTAAAGATATGGAAAAGGTTCTTGTATTTTATATTTAGCAAAGCAATCTCACATACAACATCACTATCAAGTGTCGTCTGATCCGCCGATTGACGTTCACGGCACATTTATCTGTGGACTGTGATGTACACAGTTTACTCGTCATTGTAGATTTATGATTAGTCATCTGTCATGTATTAGTCTTTAATTTTTGACACACATACAATTACCACACACATGAACACTCACACTTCCCCTCCCCAACACACCCTTCCCGCACACCCGGTTAACACATAATACCCAATGGCATATACACCCTGCAACAGAGTGGAACATTCTAGTGTGGTAGTGACGGCGGAATAGCTACGTTTGTGCTGGCGAAAATGAGACAACCGGAGCAATATGTGTACTGAACTATGTGTAAACTGTGTGTTCACAGTAGCGTCACAGTGTGTGGTTCAAATCATGTGGTTTAGCACGTAGTCCACATAGTCGTACATATTTAACACAGAGCGATATATATGTACCACAGTGTGGAATGTACTGAACTAGTCCTAAGTGTAAACTCTGTGTTCACAGTATTGTCACAGTGTGGGGCTCAAATCATGTTGTTTACCACATGGTCGTTCATATTTAACACAGAGTGACATATATTTACCACAGTGTGGGGCTTGGTTTACCACATAATTAGTCATATTTCGAACACAGTGACACACATTTGCAACAATTTGGTATGTATTTAACTACGAGCAAACTCTGTGATTTTCATAGTGGGGGGTTTCAGTTCATGTAGTCTTCCACATAGTCCTACATATTTAACACAGAGTGACACATATTTACCACAGTGTGGTAGGTACTGAACTATGTGTAAACTCTGTGTTCACAGTATAGTCACAGTGTTGGTTTCAAATCATGTGGTTTACCACATAGTTGTACATGTTTAACACAGATTGACACATATTTACCACAGTGTGGGGTTTGGTTTTCCACATAATTGGTCATATTTCACACACAGTGACACATATTTGCAACAGTGTGGTATATATTTAACTACTTCACAGTGTGGGGTTTCAGATCATTTAGTCTTCCACATAGTCCTACATATTTAACACAGTGTGCCACATATTTACCACAATGTGGTATGAATTACTATGTGTAAACTCTGTTTTCACAGTATATTGTCAGTGTGAGATTTTGAGATCATGTGGTTTACCACGAAGTAATATCCACATACATGTAGTCTGTGGGCTTATTTCCTGACTTTGGGCACATCTCCAGTTGCACCGGTTGATATCAAACTGGTCTGATAGGCCGGCATATTTCCAATTGCACCAGTTAAAAACTGGTCTGTGGGCTTATTTCCAGTTGAACCAGTTGACACCAGTTAAACAGGGTGCGTGCAGATCCATGTTTTTATACAATTTATTTGAATGTAAAGCATATTCCTTAATTACTGATGATTTAGTTATATGCAATTCATTTCCAAAGTACTAGAAAATATAAATTGCCAATAAGTAGGACATTTTACTACTTTGTATAAATTACATTTAATTAAACATGAATTAGGGAAATATTAACTATGAACTAAAATACATTCAATAAAATACAAGTATATGGAAAGTTGTAAGACCCAGAATCGAGCCTACTTTTTACTAATGCCTTTAAATTAGAAATTGCAGATGAACCAGTGATACTGTGTTAATTGTTGCCATTGCCAAATTAATTAGTACAATTGCTACATATAGCGTAAAGTACGAATTAATATTATCATCTAGTGGGTGTGGTAGACTATGTGGTGGATGGCTCAGTGTGGTAGACTATGCTTTATATGTGCTACCACATTTGATTTTGGGACGTGTGGTAACACTATGTGTACTTTGTGGTGCGTACCACAATGTGGTAACGCTTCGATCTATCTCTACTTTTACGACGATACTCAGCAGGATCCATAAGACAGGATGTAGTGCTGAGGAATAAACTATCTAGTTCTTGGTCTAGATGCTGGGTGGAAGCGCTCCCTTGAAGCCCTCCAGTGAATAGCGTCAAGGGTGATCTTTGAAAGTGCATTCCACGCAGTTACTGTCCGAGGGGAAAATGAGTACACATCAGTGTGGGCCACATGTGATTTTGGGACATGTAACGCTGTGGTGTACTATGTGGTGCACACTCATATCCACAACAAGATCGTACATGGTGGACGCTAGAATGACGGAACAGTCATTTAACGAAATTAACAATGATGCACAATGCCCATCCCAATAAACAACATCACGTCAATATCAAGGTATCGACTTGAGGAGAGTTACGTTCTTCAAACACCTGACATTTATGTAAATGTGTTAATACGTTTATTGCACTAGGTCACTTAAAACACACGTACACTTAATCACGTAATTGTCACTGCAATATCACCATTATAATACCGTGATTTTCCCTACCTTGGAGACCAGTGGCGGATCCAGGGGGGGGGGGACCGAGGACCGGGGGCCCGCCCCGCCCCCCCCCCCCGCTCCTGGAAAAAATATGTATGGGGGGAATTTTTTTTAGGGCCCAAAAAATAAAATTAATGCTCACTACCCCCCCCCCCCCCCCCCCCCCTCACTGAGCGAATTTCGGCCGGCACGATTTTCATATTTCAGCACACTAAATTTCAAATAGAATTCAAATTTGGGCCCCCACCCCTAAGAAATCCTGGATCCGCGCCTGTTGGAGAGTTTAATGGTTTGTTATCCTAATACTCCCGTTTTTGTTTAGTTATGAAATTACATCTTCATATTATCACATTATTTAGAAGTT